ATAGAGAAAAATATGATAGTTTGGTAGTATGTTAGTATTATTAGGTAAGTATATATGCACTTCAGTTCTGTTATTGTTAACTGTAATTAGGAGATGGCATGCAAGATGTTTAGCATTGTTTTGTGTTAAGTGTTGTCTAAATGAATTGATAGTTTGTGGTTCTCTTAATAGAGATAATTGGTAGTAGTTAAGATATCTGTTGTAGCATATATCTAAATCATAGAAGTCTGGTGATATTGGTGATGATTTGGATAGTATTTCTTCTGTAGAGGCGCTCACCATTTTATGCTTAGCTCTTACAGCTGCGAAGAATTCTATAGTCTGCCATGTACATTTGGTCTGACCATCATAATACTGGTCTTCCACATACAAATAAGATACTAATAAAGCTTTTTATATATAAATTATATATATATTTTTTTAAATTTATATATTAGTTACTATTATTATTAAAAATTATCTAATAGATTTATATATGAAATAACTTTTTTTATAAATCACTTATACAAAACAAACTCTAAAAAATCTCAAAACAAAATAACTATAACTTTTTGAACTATTAAGCAAACTTACTTTAGTATCTAAGTAACTTGCTCTGCTATTTATTTTATATATACTACAGAAGTTTTAAAATATCAACTTGCAAATTTATTAAATATCAGAGATGATACTGAAATTAGATGATACTAAAATTCACATAAATACATAATAATCTTCTATATAAATAAACCTAAAGTGCTTATAGAACTCTAGCATCACTAACTAAAAAATTTCACTATTAATGTTAGGGTTAGAATTTGAGTATAACTATATTTTAATTTTTTTTCAGTGCTAAGGTAAGGTCTTGCCTCGTTTCTTTATTAAACATTTGTCAAGTATTTGCTTTATATAGCTACATATCTATCTTATGAATACAAACTTAGATAATTTTATCTATGATATAAACCTACTAGAGTATACTATATTCTCACTATGTATTGGGTTATACCTAAATTTGATATTCAAACTATTCCTAGTTACCCACCATATTCACTCTATGTCTTATTGTCAAACTTTGCTTATTTTCAAATTGGTTCTTTCAGAAAATCAGTCCTTTTTGGCCTTCCAATTTGGTATGCTGGTTATTGGAATTTCTAGTATTACTATACAGATAGCCTCTTGTATATATATCTCAAGCCAGATACCTACTATCATCGCTAGTTTCACATAAGAAGCATTGGTATTACATGTTAGATCTAGTGTTTGCACTGCTCAGTTCATATGATACTTCTTATTAAAGTGGTCATATCATATCATCTGCCAGCTTGTATACTTTTATGAATGCCACAGACCCTCCCACTTACTATCCAGGTATACTAACCTCGTATCTCAAGTTAGGCCATGCTACCATCACTGGTTTGCCATCCCCAGGTCTTAATATTTTTTTTAGTTATCAAGTGCAATATATATCACCACCCCTTATGTACTTCTTTATATAGTATATTGTTAGAATTCTTAGTTATGAGAATCCTCTGAGTTGCATAACAACTATAGCACTACACACTTCTAGTCATTCATACTAGTGCATCTTAACTATTTTTATCATAGACTTCTATATAAATATGACCAGAGCTCTGAATTAGTACTTTTAGACATACAGGATAGCTTACTTTTTTTCTATATTGAGTAGCCTTCTATAGTCATTCCACTAATACTAGAGATGTTTTTAATTTTAGTTAAGGTATGATCCTTTATTACAAACCATAATCGTATATTATTACTTCTCTCACTACTCTAGTTTTGGTAGTATTGTATTACTTTTTAAGCAAGTACCTAACGCTATTAACATATTAGAACTTATATGCACAATCAATTAATCATCCTTCCAAGCAAGTACTTCACAAGTTGGGTGTAGTGATATTGGTATTGCCAAATATGAAGATGATGGAATATTGGTATTGTCTCTGAGTCACTCTAACTAGAGGACTTATACACACAATCTTCTATTATCTAGACCTTCTGTAATGCTGTTATCATATATAGTATTTGTACTTCACAATTTAGTCTTTTTTCGAGAACTCTTTATTCTGATCTTATACTGTATATTTGAACTTTTTACAGGGTTTTGCATCCAATTTATATAGCTTCTGTAGGTTACAGAGACAAATTTTTTAAAATTTGCCTCCAGCCTAACTCAAACTATTGATCTTGTCTGTAAGGTTTGGGAGCTTAACTGCAAAGCTATAGAACCTAAACTCTTAACTATATTTTAATTACTCTAGTAGAATTAGATATAATATATGTAAAATTAAACCAAAAAACCTTCTATACTCTAACTCTAACTCTAATACCAATAGTGATAGTAATGCTAGATATTTATATAGAATATTATTATATGATCAAGTAAATTTTAGCATCATCTATTTCAGCATTATCTGATTTTAGCATCATCTCTGACATTAAATTATTTACAAAAACTTTTTAAAAACAAAAAATTTACAAATTTAAAATTTTCTTAAAATTATATTAAATCAACTACTTATACTCCTTAATAAAAACTTATTTAGCTCTTTTATATGATCATTTTGCTATATAATATATTACAAATGAACTCAAACTTATAAAGCTATAATGAAAACTTTTTTATCTCTTTTTTTGCTATTTACTCTAAATTGTTCTAAGTAAACCTCAGTTCTCATTTAAGACAAATTTGTTCTACTTATCAAAATAAATATTTTGATATATAATATATTACAAATAGACCAAAATTGATAATTTTATATTAAGAAAACTTCAAACTTCTTCACTAAAAAACATACTTTTAGTTTTAAAAATTTATCAGCAATTTTCTGAAATCTTATTGGCATGCCCTAGAAATTTTACTTTTGTATACCTATTAAAATTTTTTAGAACTCAATAAATTTCAAAAATTTGCTTACTAAACTTGAAAAACTTACTGGATATTTCTGAAAAACCTATTGGTTTTCTAAAATTTTACTATATATATACTATACTTAGTACTCTAAGTTACCTGAACAAAATTTTTTTTTATATATAAATTTTATTATAAGCCTGAAAGTAGAGCACTCCTATCTAAAACTTTTTTTTTATTAATTGGTGATTCACCAGTTAGCCAGTGAGAGGTCATAGTGTAACATGACACAGTTTACTTATAGAAATTAGGGTTTTGCAAATGTGGGCTGCATCATTTTAAAATGTTTTTTCATACTAAGTTAACCACCTTTGGGCTTCTAATTGAAATTGTAGAGCTCATTGAGAGGAATCTAATGGTAGTTGAATCATCAAATCGACCTTGTGAATCACTAGATATCTTCAAAAAACATTTCGCCGACTATGTAAAATTCTCTTGGTCAAAAGAGAGAATTTTACATAGTCAGTGAAACGTTTTTCGAAGATATCTTGTGATCCACAAGGCCAATTTTGACGATTCAACCACCATTAGATTTCTCTTAACAAGCTCTACAACTTCAATTAAAATGAAAAAAGTTTTAGAATGATGCAGCCCACATTTGCAAAACCCTAATTTCTATATATAAACCACGTCATGTTATACTATGACCTCTCACTGGCTGACTGGCAAATCACCAATTAAGTAAATTACTCTTGGGCTTCTAACAAAAGTTGTAGAGCTCATCAAGATGCTCTAATAGTAGTAAGAATATTAAAATTAGCTTAGTAGTTCTTGAGAAATCTTTAAAAAAACTTTTTGCTTACATATAAAATTTCTTTAAAAAAAATCGATTTTCTTTTAAAGAAATTTTATATATGAGCAAGAAGTTTTTTAAAGATTTTTCAAGAACCACTAAGCCAATTTTAACATTCTTACTACTATTAGATATATCTTGATGAGCTTTACAACTTCTGTTAGAAATCCAAAAGTGATTTATTTAATAAGAAAAAAAGTTTAAAATAGAGGTGCTCCACTTTCAGGCTTATAGTAAAATTTATATATAAAAAAAAACTTTGTCCAGATATTTGGTGATTTGCCTATTAAAAATAAACCAACTTTCAACAAATTTTTCTTTTTATATTTATAATTTATCTAACAAAAATTAACTATATCTTTATATTCTACTAAGTAAACCTTTATTTGACACTTTAAGTAAACTTAATACTAAAACTAGTATATACACAATATTTAAATTTTAAATTGGTATCTTCTGAACTTATTAAGAAAACCAACAAAACATTATATATAATAAAATTTATTTTTAAATATATTTAACAAAAACTATACTATAACTCAAAAACCAACTAAGACAATCTCTCTTAGTGTTCTAAGCAAACTTATTCTTTATATTAAACTATATATATTCTAAAAACTTCAAGCTAAATACTTTAAAACTTACTATCCCAATTAAAAAAAATTTATATTGCTCACTTATTAGATTTTATCTATTATCTTATAATATGTCTTAACCAAATACATCTCAATACTAATTTCTTATCACTAGTTTATTACTTACTAGTCTTCTAATAATAACTCCTCTAATACAAACCTGAACCAACTTCTTGATTGGTTCTAACACTTTTCTGTTCTAGCAACAAATGACCTTTTTCAATATACTTAGTTAATAATTCAAACAATAAATTTCTTTAAGCATTTCTTAAAGACTTCTATCCAGATTCAATTATTTAGCCTAAAACAAATAATAAACTAGCTCTTAAGAATAATTTTGACCTTCTAATTCATATAATAGTTCTTCAAAAACCTAAATTTATTATAAATTTTATTCAAAACCAAAACCTTTAAGTTACTAAATCTATAGATATTTCCTTTAATATTAATTTTGAAAATTTTAAAAGATCACCTTTAGCAATTACTACTGTTCTTTTTGAATACTCTAACTACCCAAAAATATTTAACTCCTATCTCTTTATTTCTTTTTACTCTATTAATCTCTGACTGGATTTCTGAAGCATCTTCATTTATTTCATGAATACGCTTCAAGAAATAAGAAAAGAATATTTTAAAATTCTAGTGAAATTACAAGCAAATTTCAATTAAAAATTCTTACATTACTATTAATTTCAGTAGCACTTTCACCTATTTCATGAATTTGCTTTAAGAAATGAGAAAAAATATTTAATATATTGAAAGTGTCCGTTAAAATTCGAACATTATTATACTAATCATCTACTAACATTATCATTCTCTTCTATCATAATAGTTGGAAATAATTTATCAACATCTTTTACATATTTTTCTAACAAAATGCAAATTTTTAATTTACTATTAATAATGGGAAAAAATAAGGTCCACATACCTTTACCAAAATTAAACAAAATTTCTAGTGATGCATTTGGTTTCCTTTTCTTTGTATTTCGGACATTCTCATGATTCAATTCCCTTTTTTTTGAAGTCTTTTTGAATATCATGTCTTAGATTTTGATACAATTTCACCCTCTTTTGAGGAATCACCTTTATTTCTATTATGACTCTCCTGCTCAATATCTGAATCTTGGTTCTTTATATAGAAAATTTTGTCAAAATTTGAGTTAATAAATAACTCACACTAGTGTTATATTAACATAATAACTTACTCTAACATTATACGAGGTTCTATTTTTTTGAAACCTCATTGAATATCATTGTTTACATTTCGATTCATTTAAACTTTTGATTTCACTCTTTTCTGGGGAATCACTATCATTTCTATCAGAACCCTCTTGCTCAATATCCGAGTTTTGGTTCTTTATTGGAAAATTTTGTTAAAATTCAAGTTAATAAATAACATGTATTAATGTTATATTAATAATAACTTACACTAATATTATATGAAGGCTCATCATTATCATTAACTGACATTGATACATCCATTTCCTTGTTATTGTCAGGTTATTACTGATACTTTCTTCTTGCTGAATATTTTGTAATTTGTCAATACTAAATTATGTTAATCAAGTAGTATTATAAATATTATTGAAATTTTGTTACCTGATTCTCATCAGTACATTCATTATCTTGCTCATCAGTACGTTCATTATTTTGATACTTTTTCTTAATTCGTTTAAAACTTCGAAAAATTTTATTTATCTAACTATCATTAGTCTGTTTGTTTTTTGTAGTATTGTTATCTTGAATATCGGGCATTAATTCATTGTCATTTTGTGAGAATGATTCATCCATATCTTGAATTTTCTAAGTTTTTAATTTTTGAGTACTAAAATGTTTACTGATTAATGTTTTTATACCAGCACTTACTTTGTCTATTACATTAGGTTCTTGTTCATTACCGATTGGCTTATTGGATGATTTTTTATGATTTTTATCATAAATAAGAATCACTTTTGGTGGCATGTTTAGTTTT